TTCCCTGGCTCAAAACCATCAGTAATCTCCTTCCCCACCCCGCAGCATAGGCTGCCCACTCTTCTTCCCCATGCTCCTCTGTGGTTCACCTCAACGCTCACTGAACAAACAACGAGACCACCGTTGGTCTGCGTCTTGGAGACCTCTTTATGGATTTCCCCTCCTTTCCTCAGTAGGAAATTCCCAGAAATCAGCCCCAAACCATGTGTCACTCATGGGGGCAGCTCCTGTTCTCAAGGGTGGTCTCTGGGCATGATGAGACAAGCTGTCACCGAAAGAGGGGGGACAGTCTCCACATTTGGCAGTCTGAGCTGGTGCCAAGAGGCAGCCTGATGTAAATACTCAACGTGACTATTCAGTGTGTCCTAACAGCTCTAGAGCTCCATTTGTAAAGCAGCAGAGAAATGCAAAATTGTGTCAATGGATGTAACTTATATTGTCTCTTTAATATATAGAGCCCTGGCATTGATCTCATGTGACTGTACAGATGAAGAGATGTAATTGGTTTTAAATGTTTAAGGAAAGAAAAGAAACAAAAAGATGTGTTTACTACTTTACTCCATGCTTTGTTTGCTGATGCCCCAGGTATTCTGTTTAGGGAGATTTTAAAATAAGGATATCGCAGTTTGGAGGCACTGAGAAGACCAACCACTGGACCATGGCACTGGACAGTTTAATGCTGCACTGAGTGGCAGCTTCCCAATGCACTAATCGCTTAGCTGAGGCCAGGCTTTTTTGTTTCCTTTGCTAAATAAGAGCCAAATTTTTGTCTCCCCTAGAAATTGGAGATGCAAGTCTTGAAAAGCCAAAATTTGTCACTGGGTAAAGGGGGACATTTGCTTCTCAATCTGTTACCCCATAGATAACCCCGCTGCACAAAGCATCCCTCTGAGGAGATGGCACTTCTTCAAAGCGGGCTCAGCCAGGCTGCAGCATGCTTACGGGTCTGTAGTTCCCACACGACCTCTGCTTCCTAAAAAGCAGGCATGCTAAGGCACATTGCACCTTTTCTGGTTTTGGGCTAATTTCCAGCCCGGAGAAGTCTATCGCTATCTGATGGCCCAGTGCCCTTCTCCAGGTGAGTGCTCCAGTGGTGGCTGGCTGTAACATAGTGGTTGGGGTATCCCTATTTTAGAAGCAAACAGTGAAGCACTTTATTTTGGCTGTGTTTGACCCCGTTCTGGTTAAAGGTGAAGTGTGGCCAAGAAAGACCCAATACTTGGAAACAAAAGAAATATGTAGGCAAGGGGGAGGGTGCTATGAGAAGAAGGTTCCTCACCTCCTCCCTGCGTTCAGACCCACGGGAGTGTCACCACATGTATATACTGTAAATTATTTATTGGGAGAAATGCAAGTAAAGTTTGAGGGTTTTTTGACAATAAATTAGTGGGTCTCTTTTGTTCCCTGTGTGTTGCATCATACTGTCTGTCCCTGAGGATGTGAACGCTATCACCTTTTTTGTATTATCTCTAAAGCAGCTTTCTTCAATCTGCAGCCCATGGACCCTTGGCTGCTCATCTCTGCCCTAAAGTCTCATCATGAGAATTTCAGTCTGGAGTTCTATTTATCTACAGCCAAATGAGGAAAATAAAAAGGTGTGTGTGGGAGGAGGCAAATGTAACTAATGAGCCCTCAGAAATTAGCTTAGAAAGAAAGCAAGCTTGTAGCAACACTACACAAGATAGTCCAGCCTCCCTCCCTCCCCGCAGAAGTCACGAAGCGCAAATCTTGGCTACCTTGTGCCTCGCTCTCCAGAGCTGTCTCCCTCCCTAGTGGCTTCCAGTCCCTGGCAGCACAGGCTCCTGGGACTGAGCACCTTTGGTTTGAACTGAGCTCTTGGCCCAAATTAGGTCTGTTACTGCTCTCTAAAGAGGGAAAACAAAACCTATTTGGGGGAGTGGTACTCATTTTCCTCTTTTAAAAAGCTCAAGGACTCCATGCCCCAGCAGCTGGGGCCAGGAGACAGTTAAGGCCAAATGAGACATCAGTATAGACAGAAAACATGCTGTGTTGACACATTCAGGCAGAGATGTATGAAAGCAAACCTGGAGCCTCCCATGGCTCAGCCATGGAGCAGCGCCCTGGCAGGACCCTGAGCAGGTCCTGCTCCCTCACCTGTAACAGGGACCAATATTTTAGCAGAGCACAGGCCTTCACTGCCCAAAGGCAGGGCTGGGGTGCACAGAAGTCCTAATGTGGTGCCTGTACCCCATCCCCATCCTGCACCTGCTGGGAGCACCTACCTGCTGAGGGCCCAACACCCCCCTCAAAGGGGACTGCCAGCCCTTCTCACAGGACAGAGCTGGCACAGGGACATAGCTCAGGGCCTCTCAGTAGCTCTGCAATGAGGAAACCTCCCCAGCCTCTAGCAATAAGCTCAGTAAAGAGGAGAGAGCACTAGCCTCTAGACACTGCCATGTTGCTCACTTGTAGCCCAAACCACCCCAGTCTCTCTAACACTCACCTCCAGAGACATGAGGCAGAAATGCAGCTGGCCCTGCTCCAGCAGCCCTAAACAGCTCAGTACAAGCTTCAGGAAGAGATCAGCAGCTTTCAGAAAGAGCATCCAAACTTGGAGAGAGCTCAGAGCAAAACCTCACTTCTCAGCCATCACCTCTGCTCTTTATCCCTTGCCTCCTTCCCCCCACCCATCCCCAATTAGCACCTCGCTAGCCCCAGCCCACCTGCCCAGGGCTCCCCCCCAGCCGTGCTGGGGCGAGGAGCGCTCTGCTCTGGCTGCTGCTCGCAAGAGCCAAATCTACAATCACCTAAAAGCTGCAACGCCGGTGGGGAGCCTGGGGTCTGCCTCCCCCACTGGCTGGGAGGAGGTTACAGAGGCCTCCCACCTGCTCGCCGGTGCCCGGGGTGGCGAGCGGCAGCGAGAGCGTGCCTGCGTTTCCCGGTGAGGCCGGGTCTGGAGCCCAGCCTGGCGCACCGAG